GGGTTGGTGGGGCGTGTCACCATATGTAAAGGGCCCAAGGCTACTGCAAAGAAGTCCTGTATGACTGGAGAGTAGGAACAAGATCAGACAACGTGCCGCAGAGGTAGGCGGAGCACAGACGGCAGGAGCGTTAGCAACCGTGGAAATCATTTTGGACTTTTCCCGTGAACTTCCTATAGTTCTCAGGATAATTTTAACTTTTCATTTCGAGATATTTTTAGACTTACAGAGGAGTTGCAAAAATAGTACAGGCACAACCCATATACCCTTCACCCACCCTTCACCTTATGATAATCATAGTATAATTATTAAAACGGATACATTAGCATTGATACAATCCTAGTAACTAACCTACAGTGTTTATTTGGGTTTCACTAATGACCGCTATCCGTTCCAGGGTCCAATCCAGAATTCCACATTGAATTTAGTTGTCATGTCTTCTTACTCTCCAATCTCACACAAACTGAATCCTCCAATCTCACACAAACTGAATCCTTTGAAACGTAAGCAGCAGAAAGGATGGTATTTTACCCTTTAGCAGGTCCTAAAAATAAGGATGATGAACAGTTATCCCACCAAAGAAAATTAATAATGATTCTCTAATATTGTCTAATACTAGTCCAGTTTCATTCGTGGTCCTCAAGATGATGTTTATAGCTAATTTGTCCACCCAGTTTCCAACCAAGTTGCATACATTGCATTTCATCATTATTTCTCTTTAGTCAGCTTTGTTCTAGAACTGCACTGTCCAGTATGGTAGCCACTAGCCCCTGTGGCTACTGAAAATTAAAATTAGTTAAAATTAAAAATCCAGTGTCTCAAGCACACGGGTCACATTTCAAGTGCCTAGCAGCCACCTCTGGACAGTAGTGACTGTATCAGACAGCACAGATCAAGAACCTTTCTGTCCTCACAGAAAGCTCTGTTGGACAGCGCTGTTCTAGGATTTTTCCCTCTTATTTTTTTTCTATGACACTGACTTTTCCTGAGATGAGAACAACTGTGGTTCAGAGCAGAGTTTCTCAACCTCAGTGCTGTTGACTTTGTTATGTGTGGGGGATGGGGTGGGAGAGACTATGCTGTGCGTTGTTGGGAGGGGCATGGGGGAGACTACCCCGTGAGTTGTAGGAAGTTGGGCAGCATCCCTAGATGTCTCTAGCAGCTCCCCAGTGGTGACAACCAAAATTGTCTCTAGACATTTCCATATGTCCCTTAGGGGGAAAATCACTCCTGGTCAAGAACGCTGGTTTAGTGTGCTTTGTTTTGTTCTGTTTTAATTCAAGGACTGAGGAAACCAAAAGAGATGGACGTAATTCATTCTGTATTGATAGTATCATGCTTAGTATGTATTCAATGAAATTTGGTGAGTGAGTGGCTGGATGTTGAAACGTTAGGATTTTAGATGTTAGAGAAAGATGCATTCTAACAGGAAAGTGCATTGGCCCCTTCTGTCCTCCTCTGTCTTCACACCTTGCTACGTTCGATCAGAAAACTAGAGTTCAGGGGCCAGGATATCCCTGTGTTTTTCCCGTTTAATATAAAGTGTGTTGAGGCCCTATCATACGCAAAATAATACTCATTACTCTTCATATCAGAGATCTTAATCCAAGGTGGGAAATAGACACAGTACAGTAGACTTTTCAAAGTTTCAAATTTGAGAGCTCAGACATAAATCATTAAGCACTTAATAAGTTCTTTACAAATAATCTGTCAAGCCTAGAGAAGTGTCATATGTTAGAGTTTGATAATAGCCTATGTACATACTGTTGACCCTCATCATTCACGAATTCCGTATTTGCAAATTTGCCTACTCCCTAAAATTTACTTGTGACTCCAAAATCAGTACTCACGGTGTTTTCACAGGCATTCACAGGTATGTGCAAAGCACCGAAAAATTTATCGCCTGAAATGTGAGTTGCCTGATGAACTTGCTCTCAGCTGAAATTGAACAAGGCAGCTCTACCTTCTTGTTTCAGCTCTCATGCTGTAAACAAGTCCTTTTCGCAGTTTATTTAGTGCCATGTGTTTTTACGTTTTTGCATTTTTGGGTGGTTTCAGCTGTTTAAAATGGCCCCCAAGCATAGCGCTGAAGCGCTGTCCAGTGTTCCTAAGCACAGGAAGGCTGTGATGTGCCTTAAGGAGAAAATCAGCTTCCTTCATGAATGATAAATGTCAGCCTCAGCTCATCTTAGACCCAAGGCTTGAGGGAGGAGTGCATAGGAGGCTTAATTGAACTGCCATTTTCTTTCTTAAGCCGGGTGGTGGGCACCCAGGTATTAGTTGCATTAATTTCTATACCTTTTGTTTGTCAATATGTTTTATTAGCAATATCTCCAAAAGCAATGCATGTTCATTTTAGCAAATTAAAAAGTGCAAAGAGCAAAACTACTTTCTTTCCCCCACCCTCTAGAAGTATTCAGTGACGGCTTTTTGGTGGGCACTTTTGTGGACTGTGTGTGGTTATTTTTAAAAACAAAATACAGATCACATTATACACACCTATACCTGGATGTCCACTGCCCACACTCTCACTGTTGAGTGCGCCATGCTTATTTAGCCAGTTGCTTCTTAAAGGATATTTAGATCGCCCCCCCCATCTATTATAAATGTGCTGTAATGAATGCTTTTCTCTATTGCCACACGTGCAAGTTAGCATTTCTGTCTAATGCTGCAGAATTAAGATTACTGCCTCATGTATCACGGAAATGTCCTAAAAGGTAGCCTCTCCTGTCAGCCCCGAGTGCCCACCGCTGTACACCTCACCAGCTCTGGATCTCTTAAATGTGTGAAAGTCTGAGGCAAAGCCAAGTATTTCACTCATTTTATATGCGTGTCTTTGTTACTGAGAGTGTTTTTTACATCTTTACTGGTCGTGCTTCCTCTTCCTGTGTGTTCCCAGCCTTTGTGCGTGTTTTTATTTTTTTCCTCACTGATTTCTTCAGGAACTCTTTGGGGTGCCTACTTCCTAACAGTCTACATAGAGTGTGTTATCATTTCCAAAGCCTTTTTCATATGTGTGATATCGCGGAATCCAGTTCTGAGTTGTTTTCGTGGCTTCAGAACAGTTAGCCCGAAGAGATTCGGGCTTGTAAGAGTCTTGCTGCCAGTAAGGGCTTGAGACTGGACTCCCACCAAATCCCCAGATCCTGAATCTCATATTCTTTTGACCACACGTCAGTTTAAAAGGCCCATCTTCCAAATCCAAGAGTGTTTCGGGAGGGTTCTATTTCCCAACACCTGTTACACGAAAGCAAAGCTCATGAATGGCCATGACTCAAGGCCTCCGGTGTCTGCCAGAGCTTCCCCAGCACGGCTTCAGCGTCGTGAAAACAGCGAGCTGAATCTTGCCCTTGGGTGGGAATTGGAGGTGGGGACAGGCAAGGGTGGGTTTCCAGCGTCAGGTGATCGGTGCTCCTCCTTCCGTGTGTCCCGCAGAATTTGTGAAGCGGCTCCGGTACTGCGAATACCTGGGCAAGTATTTCTGTGACTGCTGCCACTCGTACGCAGAGTCGTGCATCCCTGCCCGGATTCTCAGGATGTGGGACTTCAGGAGGTACCACGTCAGCAATTTCTCCAAGCGGCTGCTGGACAGCATATGGCAGCAGCCTATCTTCAATTTGCTGCACGTCGGCCACGGCCTGTATACGAAGGCCAAGGAGCTGGACAGAGTGAGGGTAAGCAACTGCCTTTCTGGGGAAGGGAGTCCAGTGGCTGAAAGGGTCCTGTGGCAGTAAATGGACATCTCCCCCAGCTCAGGGCATCCAGACAGACCCTCAAAGGGGTGGATTTACCATCCAGCGGATGGAGCTCATGCTTCAGAGACCCTCGCCTGCTTGGGCTCTTTCCGTGGTCCCAAACCTAATTTCACATTTATGCATAGTTTTCATTTATACCTAGCTTTTGAATTTTATTATCTGTTGAATAAAAATTGTATGTCTTTAAGGTGTACAACATGACGATTTGGTATACGTATACACGGTGAAATGATTGCTAGTCAAGCTAATGAACATATCCATCCCCCCCCCCAACAGTTACCTGTTGGGTGTGTGTGGTAAGAACACCTGAAATTTACTCTCTCAGCAGATTTCCAGTATTTAATATAGTCTCGTGAACTGTAGTCATCTTGCTATACATGAGGTCTCTAGACTTTTCCTACGTAACTGCAACTCTGCACCCTGGGCCAGCATCTCCCCATTTCCCTCACTTCTTTCCCCCTAGGGACCACCCTTCTAGTCTCTGCTTTTATGTACTTGACTTTTTTAGGTTCTACATATAAGTGAGATCATGCAGTTTTCGTCTTTCTGCGTCTGGCTTATCTCACTTAGCATAATGTCCTTCAGGTTCATCCATGGTGTCTCAAATCGCAGGACCTCCTCCTTTTGTATATAGTTTCGTGTTTTTCTTAAAGAAGGCCCCCAACATTGTATAAGCTTCAGGTTCCCCAAGACCTGGGTCCCTCCTGGACCCTCTGTAGATCTCTGGACTCAGTAATGAACCCCTGCTATAAAGACTGTGTATTTCAAAGGCTTATTTTCTAGAGTTGTAGCATTTCAAGGTTAGAAATAACATTTAATTTTGACTTATACATTTCCAGTGTTTTTTTTTTTTTAACATCTTTAATGGAGTATAATTGCTTTACAATGGTGTGTTAGTTTCTGCTGCATCACAAAGTGAATCAGCTATACGTATACATATATCCTCCAGTGTTATTTTATCACATTTACTTTTCCCCCTGTTTGGTTCCTCACATCAGGAAATCCAGGAGCAGCTATTTCATATCAGGAAGATGTTGAAGACCTGCAGGTTTGCTGAAAGGTGCTACTGCTGGCTGAGACTGGCGGGCGGGCCTGTGAATGGGAGGTCTGATAACCCCATGCACTTGCTGACCCTTTGTGCCTCCAGGCCCAGCTCCTCCAGTACATAGAAGTCGCCTTGTGACTCTCCTTGGGGATGCGGACCCCCTCTTGAATGTTGCTAAGCCTTCTAACTCACTAGCAGGGAATTTAACATGTTAAGAAGAATGGACCAGTATAAGGATGAAACAACTCTAGCCAGTGGGCTATTATTATTATTATCATTATTTTAAATTGCGATAAAATACACATAACATGAAATTTACCACCGTAACCCTTTGTAGGTGTCCAGTTAAGGGGTTAAGTACGTTCACATTGCTGGCCAACCATCACCACCATCCATCCACAGAAGTCTTTTCATCTTGTAAAACTGAAGCTCTGTACCCATTCAACACCATCTCCCCAGCCTCCATTCCCCCAGCCCGTGGGAACCACCCTTCTCTTTTCTGCCTCTATGATTTTGACTATTCCAAGTACCTCATATGAGTGGAATCAAACAGTATTTGTCGTTTTGTGACTGGCTTATTTCATGTAGTATCATGTCTTTAAGCTTCACCCCACGCTGTGGCCTGTGTCAGGATTTCCTTCCTTTGTAAGGCTGAATGACACTGCATTGTATGTATATTCCACCTTTTGTGGACCCATCCACCCTGCTTGGGTTGCTTTCTTTTGCTTATTGTGACTAGTGTTGCTATGCTGATAGAGAGGCATGTCAACTTTTATTGGCTGTGTAATAGTCTGTACTATGATGTGGTATTAAGTATTGTCCTATTACTGAACACCTCATACATTTTAAATATCTTCTGTTATTAAAAAAAAAAATGCACTAAGCTTTAGCTGAATCTCTGACCACATCCATAGGTATGGCCTGAGGATGACTTCTGAAGGCCATGTCCGTAAAGGCACAGGCATGAATTTAGCAGATATATATATATACTTTTTTTTTTTTTTTGCGGTACGTGGGCCTCTCACTGTTGTGGCCTCTCCCCTTGCGGGGCACAGACTCCAGACGCGCAGGCTCAGCGGCCATGGCTCACGGGCCTAGCTGCTCTGCGACATGTGGGATCTT